CTCCTCCTCCTCCTCCTCCTCCTCATCATCATCATCATCATCATCATCATCATCATCATCACCAACACCATGACCATGACCATCACCAGCATCATCATCAGCAACACCGTCATCATCATCATCAGCATCATCAGCAGCAGCAGCATCACCACGATCGCGACAATCACCATTACCACCAAGTGGGTCACTGGCCCCAAGTCCACTCTCGCAGCACAATCCGTTGTCATCCAATTCGCTAACATTAGCAACAGTATGGGGCCGGGACGCCAATACGATCTCCAAAGAGGGGTCATCGGACAATTCAAGGGCGGTAATCGTAAAATTCTCCTGGCGAAAGACCCGACCATACGCAGTTGTGGGTACCGCAATTGTGAATATCTTCTTCGGTGAAGCTCCTATGGGGCCACGAAGCGCTGCACTGGGTGGGGGGGGAAGCATGCGGGCGGTAACACTGGGGGCTTCGGAGGAGCTCCCTATGGGGTCACGAAACGCTGTACTGGGTGGCGGGGGCGCATGCGGGCGGTAGCACGGGGGCCTGCGGTGGAGCTCCAGATCGGGCCACGCATGCGGGCGGTAGCACTGGGGCCGTCGGTGGAGCTCCCTACGGGGCCGCGAAGCGCTGTACTAGGTGTGGGGGACGCATGCGGGCGGTGGCACTAGGGCCGTCGGTGGAGTTCCGTATGGGGCCACGAAACGCTGTACTAGGTGGGTGAAGGTGCCATTTTGGCTGGACGCAGGCAAGCAGTCCCACTGGGGGCTTCGGTTGAGCTCCCTATGGGGCCACGGAACGCTGCGCTTGGTCGGTGAAAATCCCAAATGGAATTTGTGGGACGCATGCGGACGGTGGCACTGGGGCCTTCGGTGGAAGTCCCTACGGGGCCACGAGACGCTGCACTTGGTATGTGAAAATACCAAATTGGGCGTGTGCGACGTATTCGGGCGGCTCCACTGGGGGCCTCGGTGGAACTCCGTATAGGGTCACGAAACGCTGTACTGTGTGGGTGGAAATGCCAAATTGAATGTGTGGGACGCACGCGGGCGGTCCCACCGGGGGCTTCGGTGGAGCTCCCTATGGGGCAACGAAGCACTGTACTGGGTGGGTGAAAATGCGAAAGTGTGTGAATGTGCGTGAATGTGTGTGTATGTGTTTGTGTGTGTGTGTGCGTGTGTGTGTGTGTGTGTGTGTGTCTGTCTGTCTGTCTGTCTGTCTGTCTGTCTGTCTGTCTGTCTGTCTGTCTGTCTGTCTGTCTGTCTGTCTGTCTGTCTGTCTGTCTGTGTGTGTGTGCGCGACGCATGCGGGCGGTCCCACTGGGGGCTTCGGTGGAGCCCCCTTTGGGGCCACGAAGCACTGTACTGAATGGGTGGGAAATCCGCCGACCCTGTTGGCGTGTGGAAGATGTTTTTCCGTTCGTCGTGAACGTCGTCGTCGTCTTCGTCGTCGTCGTCGCCGCCGCCGTCGTCGTCGTCGTCGTCGTCGTCGTCGTCGTCGTCGATGCTCTTCCGTTCGTTGTCGTCGTCGTCGTCGTCGTCGCCCTCCCCTCAGGCGCACCAGCCAAAGCGAAACCAAAGCGAAATCGAGCAACGTCGCTATATCTGAGTCGAAGGCAAAGCGAAATTGAGCAACGTCGTAGCTGAATCGAAGGGAAACCCCTTCCCTTTGATCCCTTCCCCGCCGGGGGGGGGGGGGTGGGGGGGGGGGCGGGGGGGGGGGGGGTCCCGGGGGGGGTCCCGGGGGGGGGGGGGGGGGGCAGATACGCATCCCCCCCGGGATGTCCCGGGACCTAGAAAAGCCCCCAGACTGGCCAAGAGTGCCCCAAGAGGCTTCCAAGACGGCTCCAGAGGGCCCCGAATCGCCGAACCATCGGTCGAAGACGCCAAAGTAGCCTCCAGACGGCCCAAGAGATTGCCAAGACGCTCCAAGAAGTCTCCAATAGCATTTTGACAGATTTTGGCGTTCTCGCCGATTCAAATTGCCGACGCTCCAAGACGGCCCCAGATGCCCCCAAGATTGCCCCAAGATAGCCCAAGAGACTTCAAGAGAGCCCCAAAATTACCCAAGAGGGCCTCAAGACCGCCCAAGATGCCTCCAAGATGGCCCCAAAGGCTCCCCAAACGGCTCCAATTGGGTGCCCAGACGGGGGGCCCGACGAGCCCTCGGCGACAGAGGCTCCCAGGAAGCCCCGAGATGCCCCCAAGAGGCCACCACGAGACCCCCAAGAGGCCCCCAGGAAGCCCCAAGAGGCCCCCCCCGCCACATTAGAGAACGCATGGGTCGCCCTCCAGGGTCGGCGGCACCGGCCGCAAGGCCTTCGCAATATTGAATTAAGTGATATGGGGCGCATTCGACCAGTGGAACTGAGGCCGTCGGTGGAGCTCCCTATGGGGCCACGAGACGCCGTACTGGGTGGGCGAACATGCCAAATTGTTTGTTTGGGGGCGCATCGGGACGCACGCGGACGGTCCCATTGGGGGTTTGGGTGGAGCTCCCTATGGGGCCACG